ATTCCACCTGTTTCTACTTCCAGCAAGGGGTCACTATTATGGCCACACCAGTTCATTTGAGGTCACCCCCACTCCCTGCATGAAGGCCAAAGGAATGCCTCCCCAGGGCCTAGGACCCCACAACCCTTATAAGGGAGTATCACTCGGCCGTGAAAAGCGGGGAGATGCTGATACTCGTCCCGACGTGGATAGACCTTGAACACATGACGCTCAGTGAGAGAAGCCAGACACACAAGGCCACACGGCGTGTGATTCCACTGACGTGAAACGTCCAGAACAGGCACGTCTAGAGAGAGGAAGCGGGTGAGTGGTTGTCAGGAGCTGGCGAGTGGGGGCGGGGGGCTGCTGATGGGGACGGGGCTTCTGGGATTAAGTGAAGATAATTACATATTGTTCTCTGTGTGAGATGCCACCACTGGGGGAAACTGAGGAACGAGAACGTGGGGCAGCTCTGTTATTGCTTACAGCTGGACAAGAATCCACGATTATCTCGAAAAAGTTTAATTAAGAAAAAAAGGTTGGCGCCCCCAGAGGGAGACGGGTAGGTGGGTCCCCTTGCAGCTCCAGTGAGCACACAAGTCCCTGGCCTCCTGTGGCTCCCGCCCATCGGCAATAGGGCACAGCAGGCATCTGGACCTCAAGGACCAGACCAGTAAAACTAACAGCCACACGTGGAACACCAGGCTCTCTCACAATCCCTTCCCCTGGCACACTCGCTATCTCACCCACGAAGTCTCGGAAGGGTTAATCCGCCTGCCACCTGAGGGAGGATTAGGCGGGACTCACACGCGGAGGTCAGATCAGAAAATATCTTCTGAGTCACAGGATGGCCGGCTTGCGAGGCCGCCCACTCAGCTACTACTCACCGCCAGCGTTAAGGGCATGACTACTCAGGGGTACTCATCAGAGGGTCGTGGGCTCCCCGGGAGGAAGCTGGGGGCGAGGACAGTCACGCTGGAGCTGCTCCCCCACCCACAGCCTTGCTAACTCACCCAGGTGAAGGGCCCAGCACACACACTCACACCCCCCGCCACAGGCGCCTGCCCTGCCACCAGGCAACCCAAGATGCCATTTACTCCCCTGCGAGTTGAGACCTAGTTTCCCACCCGAGAAAGGCCATCCTGCTTTAGAAATGACATCACCGTGAACTGCCAGTGGCTAACGGGAACTCAAAGTCACTGAAGGAACAGAACTCACCCGACCTCCCCCTCCTCCTTGTCAATTGCACAAAGCCAATTTCCGAGTCTGGACACTTCGAGTGTGGCCGGTTGTGGCTGTATGCATTTCCTCTTACCAATGCCCCCTCCTCCGACGAGCCACCCACACCTCCCCCAGAGCAAAACTGGCAGTTCCTCTGGGACCTCAGCTGACCCTACACAGGGGCACTAAAACTCTGCTTATTTCTGTGTTTACACATCACCCACTGTCCTTCATGCCTAAGTTTCTCGAGAAAAAGAACATTGTCTACTGTCCCCTGTGCTTCTGGGAACGCTGCAAATTTTCAGGAGGTGCTTGTAGAATGAATGAATCAGTGAACAAGCAAGCTCAGTCATCTCAAATGCGTGGTCACGAGGAATCTGACCTTCCAAAACCTGAAGCTTCCGAAGTAGTCCATTTTCGTAGCGTATGCATCATCGAATCATCACAGAACATGAACTCTCACAGAGTACCACCCCCTCGTTTCCCGTGCAAAAGCACAATTCCTCAGTGGGGACACAGAAGGTTGACAGACGTCACTGTAAAGCTGTTAGGCTGTTGCTGGCCCTGGCAGCTAGCTGCGAACTTCACTGGGCTGGCCTGGCGGTGGGACAGCCACGCCAGAAAGGGGCCTGCTGACGTCAGGCAGAGCGCCCGGCCAGGCGGGCAGCACACCCTCGTCCCCTGCCAAGCGAAGCCAGGCCAGCGAGGGAAAGGCGCTCTGCAGTCCAGAACCACTCGCCACTAGAAAGCCGGTCCCGACCAGGAGACCTTACTCACCAGGGCGCCAAATCCCTGTGGCTTTGCTCCGCCCAGAATAGAAGCAGGTGACGCGACAACGAGTGAGCGTGAACCCTCCCCTCAGCATAAGATGCCTGGACGCTGGGTCACGCTGGGCTTAACTTGTCCCGCACTTAGAAATACTGGTTTCTAAGCAGCACCAACGCTGCTAAACACT